AAAAAAAAAAAAAAAAAAAGTAATGTAAAGCTGCTTCATTGAATATCTCTAACTATCATTCCGCTCGATGTCTATTCTCTTCCAATTTTGTAATAATTAAACATTTGTGGGTATTTTCCTTCATCTGCAAGTCGTGAATTAAAATATATACATAGTATATAAATAGTATGCATACCGACAACATAAGGTTTATATGGCGCGAACGTTGACCATATAGAAAGTATAAAAGAGTATATTCTACTTTCGTGGCTTAGAATGACTTAAGTAACATTCAATTACCCAAAGTATCAATAAACATCTCTATAATATATACAAGTCAACATCATAATTATGTACTAAGAAGTTGGTATTATAATGGGTAATTTTTCTAATAATCCAAACCGCCAATTATCATGGTAAATATACATTGTTTAAATCTGTAACAAATGCCTTATGGTGTGACATTTTCACAATGTCACATAAGTCGTTAAACTTTTTCAGAATCAATTTTTAAGAAAAAGATAAATGCGTCTGCATTGAACTATTTTATTCATAACAAAAGATAACACAAATGGTTTAAAATTCGATTACCTCTGTGCACAATCGGATATTGATAGGTCGTCCAACTTACGAACATTGCCGATATTTTCAGATTGATCACTTTCTTGTTTCATTTGTGTTTATAAAACTGTGGTTAGAAAACCGAGGGCCTAAGCTACACTGGTCGTTGTGAAAAGACCTTTGTGGCATGGACTCCTATAAATCGTTATGCAGAAAACGCGATGATTTCATTTTATAGTTCTTTGCACCACATATATAAACTACTCATTTAATTATTTATTTATTTTCATAGTACTTCACTACGATTCTTTGAGTTATAGAAAGTAATTAAGATATAAACTGATGAATGATATGCAAATGAAAAAAGATATATACATTCTTATTTTACCTTAGCTGTAAATAGACGCAGACACTCAAAGCCGTATCAAATAGGCCTAATGCTGTGACTGTGAAATAATTCGTAAATAATATTTATGATAAACTTTGAATGGGAAATTTGTCTGACTGAATATACTGCACTGACATTATGTTGGGATCGTGAAACATCTCGCCGAGAGCCTTGTGGCTTTTGTCCTTAGTTTCTACAGTATTAAAGATTTTTTCATAAGATCACACTTTTTTCTTGGTGCTTATATAATATTCTAAAATGAAAAAGTACATTGGGATGAATGAGACAAATGAATTAAGCTTTATCACCCGCATAGCATATACATACATACTGTGATTAAATTTGTTTGAAGCCTATATTTAGAAGTATAGGTAATGCATTATCCAATGCGCATGTGAATTTATACTGTCACATATAAAAGCCATGCAAGTAAGAATTGGATTCAGTTGCCTGAAATGGAAAAAGAACAGTACATAGTGAGTCCAGGACGAATTGGGTTTCAATCACTCGATGAGTCTTGTGATTCAGGCTTAGCTGACGGCGAATCAACTACGGTAGTAAAGGGAGGACTCAACACCAAAAAGTTGGTGCTCATCGTCGGATCTATAATTGCCGTTGGGGTTATTGCAGCCGTCGGTGTCGGGTTAGGCGTCGCCATCCTCAACAAAGGTTTGTTTATTGCTAATGTCTTCTTTTTAGATACTCCCATATCAAATCTTTTTGATAGTATATGTATGACAATAATGTAATTAAAATATAGGGAGTTTATATTTTGGCCGGTGTTGAAGATGCATCGTTTGATTATATCCTTTTGGCTTTACTATCGTTCAATTAATATCAACAACTGCAAAAATACAGTTCCATGTGCTTTTATCATATATCGAGCGATGATCTCGTGGCTGTTTAAAACAAATGTGAAACTCTGGACAACAGCATTATATGATATATATTTTAGGAGAAGTATACATCATAACAAAATACTGTGTTGTATACCATTTCCCGATTCGTAAGCAATGGTCATTGTTAAATCAAAGGGTTATTTCAAATGAAGCGAGAAAAAGCAAAATAATATTTTCAAAATGTTATAAACAACAAACTATCGATTTAAGCAGATAAGATCAAGAAAACAGAATTTAAGGAATAAAGAAATCGATCAGAAAGAATGACATACGCGAGTTCGACATTGTCCGAGATTGTGACGTCACAGACATCGAACGTCATAAAATTTATTTAAATTATTCAAAGTTCTTAAATATTACTTACGTCAAATAGCTTTCCGTTGACTATACTTAACCACTTACTCGTATGGCAGATTACTTCGGTATTATTACTCGTAAAATTATGAGATATAACATGCTATAATCTTAATTGTTTTGTTTCTTTAAATAATCTTTTCCGTGGAAATGGGTGTTTGTATGTGTTACCCTCCAAGTCTCTCGGATATAAAGGATAAACACCAATCGTTGTGTTTAATGTTGTATTAGTCCTCAAGGGTTAACATAGACGTGTGCCTAGTTCAAAGACCTGATCTGGGACTGCCAAATACCATAGATACAGTGTAATATCACATCACATAATTATCAGGTGCAAATAGTCAGGAAATACAGTTCAGCATCCCCTGACCCCGACAGGTCATATACTAAGCCTTATCTGACAAAAGACAATTAATTCTATGGCCAGCACCGGTGCACTGACAACCAGCAATTAATTTGATACATCTAAACTACAGGACAACAGGAAACTCTATAATTTAACATAATAATTGTCTCAATTACACTAAGTCATATATTTTATCTCAACAGTATGCAAATTCCAACTATGCTTTCGTGTTTATCCTTACAAGCTGTATGACCAAGATTTTGTCGTTGTATTTACACATATCGACTTTGAAATTGGATTTTAACTTGTTCAACTTATATATGTTATTTATAAACACAATTAACTGTTTATGTTAATTGAAGCACTTTGAATCAAAACGAAAGATAGAAGGTAGTATTATCTGATTGTCTTCACAACTGTCAAATAAACATGATATCTATGTGGAATGACGCGTGCAAAAGTACCAACACTTGTTATCCTGCAATGCATTATTTACCAAACATTCATTGAGCTCCTTTTATATGAATTGCATAAAACTTAGTTCGTTTATGACAGTAAAATGTGTTGCATATGCATATTCTTGTTTTATAAAAGATAATTTGGTTGATTAAGTTTGTTTAAAAATGGAGTTTTCGTTTTACTTAATAGCGAGTTGACGACGGGAAAGTCGGTGCTTGCAAAGTTTACACTGATGTGCACTACAAACTACAAACTTGAAACGACATTGAACATAGTTAGATACAGCTGTCAAGAGACCTAGATGAATTCAAGGTTCAGTGAACAAACACAAAAGTAGCGTGGCATAAATTGGACACCTAACCGAGTTTCCATTTTCCCAGTATACGTCATTGTGCCGACTTATGTGCTTCGTTTATTTAAAATAATTTCTCTATGAGATAGGCAAAATCTTTGTATCGATGTTTATCTTCTCGATACTGTTACAACATCTTGCTGTATCTATGCTGTATTCACTGTTTTATAATGTTTCAGATGACTTGCCCCCTGGAACAGGCACCACGCCATCACCATCAGAAAACGGTATTTAAATTTTGTAGATTGGAAATGACATGCTGTTTTCTATATACGTGTATACCGACGAAATATCGAACAAACTATTAACAAAATATTGATCAAAGTTGGATGTGATTCGAACTTTTCTTTTTTTTATTGGAAACAATAAATGCTATGTAATATTGGTAACACGTAAGACTCATGAATGTCCTTACCTGTTTAAAGTCAACTTATATAGTCTTTACCCTGACATTGTTTTATTTTACAAGCATGTATCACTGTAATAATTAACAGACCCTATTGACGGTGAATGGACGTACTGGGACAAGTGGTCTGACTGTTCATTAACTTGTGGAGGAGGAACACAAGTTAGGAGACGAACATGTAGTGCCCCTCCTCCGCTCTTTGGAGGAAAGGTCTGTCCGGGGAAAGATATTCTGACTCGGGAATGCTCGAAATGGAATTGCCCAGGTATTTGATGAAGACATATATTTTTTTTTTACTCCAATGTTCAATCTTCACTCAGCGATCTGCATGATAGGTATGTGGTTGTGTCTGCAGACAAAACACATAATAACTTTATCTATGTCTGCAAACACTATTACAATTAGGAAACCGTATTTATACATTATCCATTTTTTCGAAAAACGAAATGCTAGCAAATCACACTTCTGAGTAACAATATTTCCAAATGTTCACTAATGATACTGATACGGACCTACCTCGATTGTGGAGGATTTTCAAAACCTCAAAAGAATCCTTATAAGCAAAGTTGTATCGCTGGTTTTTCTAGTTGCTCAACCCGGCGGACAAACATATAACACAATGTTTCCGAACATACAGGTTGACGAAGAATATCGACAAGTTTTATCGTCACCAGCAGGATTTCGCATAAAAAAGCTATTCCTCTGTGTGATATGAATGTCAATACTTTTGATGATGCTCATTAGAGTGACATTTGGTTTTGTTGTCACTAGCCGAAATCTCCATGTGATGACGTCAAATTACTTTGATTCGAATTAGATGTACATGGCTTGGGTCATCGATGTAGCAAAAGACGCATACCTTTCTGGAACACCTGGTCTTATTTTTTTTTTATTTTTTTTAAAAAATATTTTCTTTGTTCATATGATACCCTAGTTTTATCGATTTTGAGAGCGAATTATTGTTTTTGTTGCCATTTCAGTATTATCTTGTTGTTGTTTTAAAAACCAATCATGTGTTAGATAACAAAATTATCAGCTTGTCTTGATTCTATGTTTGCTTGATTATTTCTGAAGTTGAAATAAAGTTGTCGAATTGCGAAATAATACACAATGGTTGAATTATAGATTGTGGAAGAATATGTCCTAATGGAGGAACACTTTCCAAAGACTGTGACGTGTGTCTCTGTCAACAAGAAGTTTTGTTCGGGACAGTTCGGGATACCAATAACATACCCCTTCATGGCGTGGATGTGTATTTGTCCTACAAACAATGGGAACCCGTAGCTACAACAAATTATTGGGGAGAGTACAGGGTACAAAGTCTCTGTGTCTCTGCCACTAAACTGCTGTTCAGGAAAGAAGGATTCCTGCAAAACGAAACGATGCCCGTTTCGTTGAACACAACTCACCATCAAGCTCATAGTTTCCTACGGAAATACGGTAAGAAATGTTTTCGAGTTCGTTTTCTAAGATTCCAAAATATGTCTTGTGCATTGATTTAAATTAATAACGCTTCTGAACTTTCAAAAAACATAAGTAATGATAATTAACAGTTTCTCGATAAATAATAGCAAACAAGGGTATACTAGCTTACATACTTCTTGTGAAAATATACAGCAATCTGCTAGAAACTGACCCTGATGATTCACTTTTAACATGTTGTCGTCTGATCCTCTTACTTACAGTATACAAGTCGATTTTATGAGCTGATGGATCTTGTGTACGCTAGGTTGAACAATACACGCAGCATTTACGTTACGGGTGATTATGAACACAAATGTGTTCATCCAATAATGATTGCATAGCATGGTGCTAAACGAGCTAAAGTATTGATCTACACGTAATTGCATGGATGACTATACTCAACGATACATTGGAAGAAAGTGCGTTACGAAATACAAAGATATTGTATTTGACCATGACGTCTGCTTTGTATGTTAGCTTAACAGATATTTTGGATTCATATTTTGGTTTGAAAATATTGATGTGAGAGTACCAGAAATTGTGTAACTCATTTTTATTAATTCATATTTAAGACTTTGCTACATGTTAATTTAATCTTCTTCAAATTAAAGGACGCAATAAAATTCTCCTCAGCTTCACATATTTACAAAACATACAGTTTGATAATATTATGGTTTCCATCCTACCATTCTAATTAAAATTAAAACAGTAAATAGGGGTGATGCAAAGATCTTATTTGAATTAGATTGATGTAGAAACGGCGCGGTGTCGTTTGCGCCGCCATTTGTTGATGCACATTTGACACCTCTTGGACCTTAAGTGTGGCCAGTGTGATCCAATATCATTACATCAAAAACGTTAGCTCTCATCTAATCAGGTAATGCAAATGTCGTCTGAGAGACACACATAACGGGATGTTGTGAGATCTTCAACGTGAAGTGTCAGTTTATAGGATCTAATTCTCATTAGACTGAAACCCTACCAATCTTCATTACAAACGTGACAATTTTTACCTACCATTCGCTAGCTCTTCCTTAGATATATATATCTCTTGTTTATGGATATTAAATTTCACCGTTGATTTTTACTGGAGAGCCTATTTTAAATTTCGCAACAGTCTGTAAACTTTCTTGCTATCCAATAACGAAAATAACACATGGTTTTGCCAGAGGCGCACCTGTAACATTTAACAGTCTGGCATGCTAAAATAAATGTTCATTTGGCTTTTGACCAACATCTTTTCCTTTATGGACGGGACATATCATCACCATGGATTACTCTTTAATTCCACATGGACTAATTGCCGGGTTTTCTGGACGTTCATAGCTTTCCTTTTCTGTAGTTTTCTGTTTGCATTGACTTCGTTGATGCTATGACATGTTCAGAGTTTATCATACGACCATTTCCATATCCTTCTCCGTATCGGTCCGAGACTTCCATATCAGCCCGAGGAGCATATAAACTTCATAGGAAAATAATTCATGTTTCATATAGTAATGTTCTAAATATGAATAAAATACTATGAACAGCAAAGACAGATGGATATTCAGGGTATACACTACCAGTTTGTTTTACACACTGTCCGATGATTTCTGATGGTATATCAATACTTTTTTTTTAATGTGAAACCGGAAGTTAAACGAATATGGCTGGGCAGATAAAATATTTAACTTGTACGCTAATGATATTGATTTGCTTTTTAGAGAAACCACGGATTACAAAACAGCCCGTCAATAAGTACAGATTTGTTGGACAGAGCTCAACACTTTGTTGTCAGGCAAAAGGCTTCCCAACGTTAATGAAATACTCATGGTGAGTAGAAAAGAACTGATTCGTTGGAGTGATTATACTTCGTTACTAATCGGTTGGACATATCTTGTCGTGTGAACATTTGCTAAACTTTTTGTTGCAAGAAGTAAAACGGATCTTAATCTTATTAAAGTTAGCTTTATTTTTTCTTTATTCTTTTCCATACCTTGTTTTGTCTTACATATCGAGCATTTACAAACTGTCTATCGTTTGTCGCTTTATGACATTTTATTATCATACGTTATTATTCATTAAGCATTGATGCAGTTCAAATTGAAACTCTGAGTATGTTTGATATACTGAAAATTAGAATGTGTTGGTCATTTTAAGACCATGTATAGCTTTATGCTTAAATTAAATTCCCTATATATGGTCTCATGAAGCACTGGATATACATGTTTCGGGTTGGTGAATATTTCAGTCACAAACATACAACTTAGATGTTATTATACTGGCAAGTCATTTAATTATATTTACCATTGCCTGTCATTTGAACTGTATTTCCATACCACATTCAAATGATTTTTATATAGGCTATGATGTCATGAGCCGATTGTTAACGTCATAATTAGTTTGACATTATATTTGTTACGTTGGATACCACTTTCCCTCTCTGGACAGATGATCATCCTATTTATTATGATATATTATATTTTATTCATTAAACAAGCTTTAACGTAAATTGCATTATTTGAACTAAACGCTGAAAAAAAATGAAATGTCTATGAGAGAAACAGAATAAAAAAGGTAAATTTAAATGGACAATAGCCAAATTTAAACTAAGGCGCGATTCATATTGTCTATGAACGCCAGCTGAAAGAAGTTCAATGTTTTATATGACATTGTGTAATAATGATTAATGCCGATATCAGTGATGTCATGATTCATGATAATTGTTTTCCAGGACGCAGGTTTCATGTGTTGCAAAGAGAAAAAAAAAGTTTATTTTTATTTTTGAAATGATAAAAAACGTCGTAAGTTATAACATGTGTCTTTATATATTTTGATTACTATTTAAATAGAATAATATAAACATGACAGCAAAGCGTCGATATTTATTCAAAGATAAGGGACGGGTCGCCTCGATAAATTGAGAAGTTCGCACTGCCCTTATTACGTCTTTGCTTATAGGACTTACACAACTTAATCATTTAATATATGTTATTATTACGCTTTTGAGGTAATAGCGTTAATATTTGAAGTACAACACTAGTGACAACTGTCTAGATTCACAGATACATACCTGCCAAAGGCTTCAAAAGGCTTCAAAAGGCATTTTTTGGTGAGTTTAGTGCCAAATAAGAGCGCTACAGTCGTCTGCTTTAAACAGCCAGAAGTTTACAAGCAAAACCTGTTAAGTGGGACGGGAACACCCCCTGACATTTTACCCCATATCAATCCGCCATCACATATTAAAATCTACTAAAACTATATATGTTTCTAAAGTTCAATATCTGTAGCTTTCTTTCAATGTAAAATATGTCAACAATTACCTATTTAAATCACTCAGAGGCACTGTATTAAACCGGAACAAATTTTAGGTCGGGGTTACAATCGTATGAAACACTTGCTGATTGGCTGATTTAGTTGTGTGAGTCCTTATATTGATATGTAGATGATACGCAATCAACGAATATTTGTTCGGATTCAGCAGTATTAGATCATATTGTTAATAATATACACATATTGATCTAATTCATCTTTTGTGATCTGATATATCATATTGCTTTCTTGTTTTGTTTTGTCTTCTTTATTTGGTTTCTACTACTTCAACGATATGAAATTGCTACTTGGTTACTGTGTTATTTGTTGTGATATATGTCATTGTTTATGCGTATTATTTTTTTAAGTGGATTACATCAAACATTTTTCAAATTCCGTTGTCCTCAATGTCGCTATTACTTCTTTACTTATATCATTTTATGCACACACAAAAAAAAAGTTATGATACACTTTGTTCATTTTAAGAATGTAAATAATCAGTCATACCGAACGAGGTGTTTCTGATAGGAATTGTTTCATACAGGTAATGAAGGAATTGATTAGCTTTTCAATCTTTAACCGTTGGCACATCCAGATCTTTGTGAAAGAATAGTTTTTTATTAAGTATTTTGAATATAACTTAAACAACGTTTAAAAAATAGGTATAAAGATGGAAAACAAATATCACAAGACTTGAGCTCTGGAACACTGAGGTTACCTAACCTACAAAAAATGGACGAGGGGATTTACTCATGTATGGCAGAGTCTGAAGCTGGAATCGTCAAATCAGAAAGCGTGCTGGTCAATGTGAAAGGTAACTGGTCTTGATCTACAGTATTCCTATGTATATATGCCACGCGTGACTTTTATTTATTTTCAAAATCTATTTACTCCAAGGATTGAGACCTTTTGATGACATTCTATCGGGAAAATGATGAGCAATTGCATTTCAAAATTGCGCATGAGACATCTTAAATTTGTTAAAACTATTGAGCTCGCTCTTAATTGGCTAATATTGCTTTGAACAATTATTAACAGTGAAATTCATAAATCACCATGATAATATGGAGCTGTTGCCTCCTTTACATCTTAATAACAAATGTTTGTAATCTAAATTGATTGCTTAAAATTGTATAAAAAGAAGATCCAGCAATGTTTTAAATAAACAGTTTACCATACTTTAATGGCACACATTCTCATCTTTACGTTCATGGTGTCACATATGATGTACACACAGATGCACAAATACATTATATTTCGTCCTACGAAAGCTATGATTTTGGCTTACTAAATTCTACACGTTTGTTACGATTGCCATTCTATTGTCTATCCAGATGTTTCAAAGGACACGTGTGACAAGTATCCCGTATCAAAGAAAGAGAGATTACCTGCTGGATGTTTTGCTACAGTCAACGGTGTTCAGCAAAATGAAGTAGATATCGGACAATGTGTTCAACTACCGTGCATCACATCGACAGACATTGATAATGGGACATGTGAAGAATGGTGGCCGTCAAAATGCTGCAATGTCGAAACAGTTGATAGAATCGAGGTTACATGCCCAGACTTTACGTATTCATTAAATAAAATCGAAACATGTGGTTGCAGTTTGGGAACAACTGTTACAAGAGTAACAGCATTTGCCTATGGTATTAGGAATGGAACACGTGTACCTTTCCAAAGAGGGAAAGTATTTGTTGATGGAGGCAAACTCACATATTCAAGTTCATCTGGAATGCTTTCTTTCAGTATTCCTTTTGAAAAGACAGAAGTTACTCTTTCCCTTCAGGAGGACATCAAGGGAGAGTTCCTGGACTCGATTAAGACATTGAAGTTAACTCCTGGAAAAATGATGACCGTGAACGTTATATTACCATTACGGCCAATCCCTGTATCATTCAATACCAGAATGGGATTAAGCATCCCCCTCAATAATGTAGATGGTGCTGACAGAGTGGCAACGGTTTCTATTCCTTCAGACTCTATGTTGGATAAAGACGGTAACAAATATGAAGGTGCGGCTAATGCTTTTGTTAACTTCATGGATCCAAGAAAACTCGAGGATCTGCAGGCCGCTGACGGAAGTTTCACGACTTTAGATGACAACGGAAATGCAGCACCTCTTGAAACATTCGGAATGTTTCGTATGCATTTTGAGGATAACTCAGGTAGTGAATTGTCCCTTTCTGGACCAATAACTACACAGATGGATGCTAGTTTGTTCAATATATCACAAGACAAGGATGGAAATCCGGATTTATCAATGTGGCACCTGGATCCAAACACCGGAAAATGGGTAGAACAGGGAGCATTCCGATATGTTCAAACCCAGGGGAAGCGTAGATTGTTAGCAAAAACATTGATTGAAGGAACGATTGATCCCAGTAGCATCCCTAAAATAGATTTGATGTATACGTCAGTAACATCGAAAACAATAAGCCGTCCGATCTACTCTAATTGTGATAAAAACCGCATAATTGGTTATACGTACAGCAGATATATACAGAAGAATCCACCCGCACCTAAAGACGATGCCTGCTATGTCAGGGTTCGAACATACACTGACTTCACACTCACAGATTATTTGAAAGGAGTGACTGTAACTGCTATTACAAAGGAACTGAACGGTCCTCGTTTTAAAGGCATCAGTACATCATCAACTGATGAAAACGGCATTGCGTGCGTGGAAATATTCTGCAACTCCATTGTGTATCTGTACACGACGTTTGGAACTCAGATGTACGCTACTGATCAGCACAGCCTTCCTGACAATTATCCGTTCAAGAACATTCAAAATTTAACACAAGTACAGTTCACGTCCATAGACCCGTACATTAATCAGCCTCGAAGTGACAAAATGTACAGCCCTGCTTATGATTTCAAAAAGAAACCACAATGTGAAAAGCCTTCCTTTTCTGATGGACTTTTTCAATTTGCTCCGATCAAAAAGGAAAATAGACTAGAGACATCTCTTAGAATAAATGTCCTTGACCAAAGACTGGCCTGGTATACAAGACCTGTTGAAGATCCACTACATAAATCATGCTTCATAAAGTTGAATATTAAGGTAAATAAAGATGTTGATGAATTATATTCATTTTTTTGCGATGAAGTAATGTTATATATTTAGATCAGAGGGAACGCATAATATTTGGTAGCATTTTTTATGTGTCTTTACAACATCATTTAAGATACCCTGTTTCTATTTCAACGAATAATAATAAATCCGATTAACTTGTCTATTGTCTGATAAAGAATGTAACCAGATTTTTTTGAAATATAAATTATAAATGTTAAGGTGTTCTACACCAGTTTTTAGTTTCATCAACCGCTTATTTCAAATAAATGCATTTATAGTTGGTATAGATTGACATTTGATTAAAAATATGCATTTAAGAGACTGAAGTTGAGATTTGTTCAAAACAGGTTTAATCCGTCACAGCTTAGTGAAAAGGATTTACAAGATATATTATATCTTATAGTATTCATTCGTGTCATTACCCATTATTTATTGTCATTATTAGTTGTTTTTGCAACATGAAATATTTCTATTTTAATTGACAAAGTATCAACCACATGAACAAAATATGGTTTTCTATTTAAGCAGAATTTGTTCTTTATATAACCAATATTGAGGTATTTTTAAAAATGTTTGTTAACAAAATACCAATAGTTAACTGATTAAATATGCCGCGTGACATGTATACCTTTGCGAATTAATTGAACATTCATTGCTTTCTTTTTCAGTCAAACATTCACAGTTTTGACATAATCAGCAAGAGCTTCATACAGGATGACCCCTCACAACGTGATGAGTATGGAACTTACTTTACATCTCCCTACTGGGATGAGACCACAGATCGCCGGTACTCCAAAGCGGCATGTATTGAGTTCCGATGTTCCGGGCTGGTTGTGGACGGGGCAACGAAAACACAGAATGTACCGACATTGGTGTACATCTACGTGGCGAGCGACGAAGGAGCAAGGTGCACTATCGAGTAAGTATATACCAAAATAATACGCGTTTCATGAAGACTTGCATTGGTTTGATATACAATGTAATAACAAGGTTCGATATTAAAGATAGCTTTAACATTTTGTTATATACCAACCGTTAGTGATATATAGCCATTGTTTATCGCAAAGTTTCAAATGCTTAGATGGTATTGTGTTCTATTTTGTTGTTAACTATATACGTAGTTATCATATAAAGCACATGTCATATTACTCATAATACATATTGCATTTCATACAAGAAATCAAAGGGCCAACAAATCTCCATGTAATGCATACTTCGTTTTGAAATATTAAATGACACTCATAAAGATTGTTACTTTAATTATGTATGTTTTGTACAGTTCCAGTTCCGTTGCCGTTAATCAAACCGGAATGGGAAATAGCTATGTATTTTTGGCTAACCCGAGAGATCAATATGGCCAGCAATATGGAGTTTTTATCAGAAACCAGCCGGCTGATGACGTCAGACAGATGTGTGAAAGTGGGACAACATCCGGTAGTGTTTCCTCTACGATGAAACCTGACAAGAACCCAGCTTTCCAGTTAACGTGCATATAATAGTATCCTATGTATCAAAATATATCCAGACTCTATATACACTTCCTTTTTCAGAATTAATTTGATTCCGAACGATTCATAATAAAAATCATAATAGATAGATAAAGGACGTCATGTATTTGCCGCTAGAGTTAAGAGTTTGACAAATGCGAATACATATTCGCTTAACTGGTTTCTATTTTTGTTTTAAAGTGTGTGGCTATGTTTCTCACATCAAATCCTTCTTAATTGAGTTAAAATTATGCTGCCTTGTAATGTTTTGAAACTATTATACACATATTGTCTAGTGTGAAATCAAGTTAAATGAAAACACATGTTTATGTCAATACATTGTCAAATTATTGACGCAACAATTCTGTTACAATTATCAAAATACCTTTTTACCGTAAATAAACAGATGAGTGTCCCTCTCAAGATTGTTTTGTTCCTTTAAAGTAATGCTTGTATACCTTCTTGTCCGTATTCAAAATCCATTTTGAATTGTTCGGTAATCTATTCTTTCTAATTCAACTAAATATGTTTACAAAAGTTTCCACATTGTATCGGATAATTTAAACGACATTCAATGCAACAGGGAATTGTCAATTGTCATACGAACATGTATATCAGGTTCTGTTCTTAAACCACCTAACCGTTGTAATTATTTTTAGAGTTCAAGATATTATCGATACAAAGCCGAAAGGCAAGAAATAAAGAAAAGATAGAAACACTTATCGAATTATAACTGGTAAACATTCGGCGAAAGGGTAATAAAACAAAGCCTCTTGTGCATATTGAGCCATGAACCGTGAAAAGAATCGAAAACAAATGTCCTCTTGATGATACTTCAGAAGCACTGTCCCACTGCAGACAAAGCACTCATTACTTCCACAGTGCTTTACCATACACACATGTACAGCAACGTCCAATTAATTTGGTTTCGTGGACAACTGTAGTGAGACTTCATCTGACGAGGTAACGTATCTTAATTAATCGACTGTATTGCAAATCTGAGGACGAGTGTTGTACTCCCGGTTGGCCCGGTGGCATTTTTAACTCTTAGAAACACTGTTGTTTACTTTTTGTTGGTACATTACGTATATAGTGTTCCATAAAATCTGCAATGTATGTGTTTCTTTTCACATCTAATTGGTTAAAGCAATTGTAATTCTGGTAATAAAATGATTATATGATCAGACCCGTTGATAATAAATACAGTTGTGTGACCGCACAACGCACCAAAAATACCGTGCACACACCGTTCATACATCGTTCACACACCGTCCGCACATCGTCTACAGATGGTGCGCACAACTGGGCGATTTAACAATCGTTCGCCCCGTTGTGCGCTTCCCTCCTCACAACTGTGCGATTTGGTACAATTTGTTGATCAATATTACGGAATGAAAAAAACCGTAAACTGTATATCTTACTGTAATTTTTCATCAAAATAATTAAGATTACGTTCAATTTTACAATGCGTGTAGAACAATATACAGTGACCGTTAGACTGTCAATACTGGGGATTTGGCTCCTAGCTAGGTAACAGAACAGGTAAATAACGATTTGATGAGTGACCGGAGTTTTACCTGGCCTGTACCTGACACATATAGCTGCTATGTGATACCGTATGACCGTTATGAAAACACATCTGTACGTTGAGTATTTGTTATTTGCATTCGTTCTGATCTAGAGCTCCCCTTACCTTGGGGAGTTACGTAAGTGCCCCGGGCGGGGAAAAACTACGGTTGAGATACAAAGTGGCTATGGTCGTTTAAAAAACACTGAAGCACCATTTCTAAATTTAAGAAAGTATAGACAGAAGATAAGCTTATAGATGTAGCTAGAATATAGAAACATACTCAACAATCAAGTTTATATGTTTAAACACCAAACCGTATATATTGTTAAGTCATTCCTCAATTTACACCAACCACGATTGTTATCGCACAACGTTCGTCGATCGTCCGCACAAATGTGCGCAAGCAATGATCGTCCAATTTTTATCGTTCACACTCCGTGCACACATCGTGCGCACACGTTGTGCGATCCCACAACTGTATATATATATACATGGATTGTCTTAACCGAAGTGGTTTTTGAGTTTGCAGGTTCATAAAATACCTTCAATGTTTGTGAAATCGAGAAGAGAAAATTTGTTTTTTCAAGAATAGGGAAATTGAAGTAAATATCTCTTTCATTAACATCATTACATTATGCTAGTGGAACAAAAGTTATATCGAAATATGTCTCAGCCAATCATAGCGGCCACGGCGGCGGCGGCGGCAATATTTGATGTCTGATCGAGAAAAAATAATACACATCTGCATATGTATATCAATATATACTTATGTGAAGTTTCATAAGTATGCATCGCAGGAAGCGTCCGATAAACATTTGGAAGAAAAAGAAGAAAACATGGGTCCAATCATGTAGTTCTCATAATATAGTAATGAAGAAAACATGCAAAATATCGTAATGTATTTTATATTTTATTTATTCTAAATTGAATATGGGTTCGCGTATGAAATATTAATGAATCTTAACAAGTTCATTAAATTACATGTACAAGTACACACAAACTCAATCAGCCAACTAAATTATCAGACGGTAAATTCGCCTCACATGTAAACTGAAAGGCATAGCCTGTATCTGGGTTCATTTCGTAATTGTCAATTATATCATTGGCCCCGGTAAAGCAAAGTGACTTAGCAACCTTTCGGACTTTATTAAAATATATACCAGCATTCGGCCCATAATCATCATGAGGTGTCAAGGATATTTCAAAGTTAGAGTTGGTTATATTGAAGCCGCCCGATTGAAAATCCGGTGAAATATTACTGCAAATAAAATAAAACTTGTAAGCATCTACAAAAAATCGTAAAATCCCAGAATTAACAGTACATATCAGCATCAAATACGACTTAAATACAGTCTTGCTGAATTCCTTTAACATTTCATGTCCCTCCAAGATGGTGGTTACATTTTTGTTTACTATTTGCAGGCAATGTACACTGGAAGCAGATTTTTGATGCATTATGAGTAATCAGTGCTCTTCTTAAAAATAAAACGTTGTTTGGCGAATGGATTTTTCGCCTAATGAAGAATTGAACTACTCGGCAACCGAGCAGTCTAAAACACACTCAGATTAACAAAAGGTTTGGTTAGTGAGGTGGTAGAGCGCTAGGCTTGTGACCTTGAGATGTAAAAATCGACTTCAAGCAAAGTCTTTATCCATTTATTTAAATTTCATTTATGCTATTGTTTTCAACAGGGCATTTATTAGTGTAAGATGTTATCAAACATACCCTTTGAACAGTGTGCAAGGTGGTAGATCTACGGGTAAATGAAACTGCAGAACGGCGAGACACAGATAACTTTTCAACTTTTTTCTAGTTATAAATATGAACCCAAATCGCAGACAAATCATAACTTTGAAAGGTCGCCTTTCCGTGTCATTTGTTAATAATCTGTTTAGTTTATTGTAAATATTGATGAAATCATAGATCTTTCATTATTGTATGCTGCAGCTGTATAAATATCAAGAATTATCATAACAGTTTGAATAAGCATCATTGAATCGTTTATTTATTGCCGCTTAGTAAAATTACTAGAGTAGCATTTCAAGAATGAAATACATACCTTTTCCTGCAAGAAACTGATCTAGGAACTGTCAGTTTTCCTTCTAATCTCGTAGCGATGATTTTCCCACTGCTCGGATCTTCATAGGGGCATCTGTATTCTATACATGCCGCTCTATTCAAAATATTGCCAGCCTTTGGGTCTTCTTTTGGTCCTGACGTCATACTTCCGTAATAGAAGTTACTTTGGTTATTGTAACTTTCCAGTTTGATACTGACGTTATAGAATGGTGTCTACAAAGGAAATGCCGTACAATATTACCATAAATAAAATTTGCATATTGAAACTAAAATATCACATCAGATGATATTGTCGTCATGACGATTAACTTGTAACCGTTTATTGCAGAGCAGAACCGAATTAACTGCGAAATTTTAAAATCCAAAATCAGATTAGGCTTGTTAATGTCTACTGGGGAAAGAACACTCAATGTCCTCCAGGAATATGTCAGTTTATATAATATTTGTAGATCTATCATTTTCCCCCTCAAAATAAAGACAAAATAAAGAAAAATGTTAATTATGTCCCTTGCTTAATAGTTGAAAGTATTATTGCTTTTGTAAGACAAGTGGCATTTGATCACATGTACACGCATAGCCTTTCATGTGACATTTAAAAGCATAACCACCTACCTTTTTTCCTAAAGCATATAGAAATGCATATTTTCTATAAAAACTGTTACTAAAAGATTCAGATATCCACATTCCTGAACAAGAAGCCCATTATATGTTCTACCCCGATTGCTATAGATGTTAATAATTAAAATAATGTAGACTGCCATATTTTTTGTTACACATTATCCTAGAAAAGCTTGTTCGCTAAGCCTTAATAATGTTATGAAACGTCGTCATATATCCCATTTAGTAAAACAACACATGCTGAAATGTCTGTTTTTGACAAAATAATAACAAATGCAACAAGGAGTTGTAACAAATGTTGTATGATAAAAACCGAAATAAATACCTGGACCTTGACCTTGATGTAGCAGACCTTATATCCAGACTCGCCCTCACGTAGTGGGTACCACGATTCGTCGTAAGAGAGTTTTGATGCATTTGTGTTTTCTTCGAATTTATCCGGTGGTCCAAGGAAATGAAAACCGATGTAATAAGCTAATGGCTGTGGATTTTTGCACTCAGGAAGAAAGCCTTTTGTATAAACAGGACCAGGCGGATGAAAGAAAGCTGGAATCTGATATATTTTTTTTAACAGTATTTCGGTTGCACTTAATGACGTACTGCTTAATTGACTTGGCATCAATTGATTGGCAGCTATATGTAAGCGCTCGATTCCAGTATCGACAAATATTATAGCATTTTTTCTACATATTGTTCGAACACATGCGTTACCGTTTATATCAGTTTGGGCTTCTGTATAGCCCGTGAAATTAATGTTATTGTCCGAGTGCGTCGGGTCTATAACTAGCGCAAACACAGACACATTATTTGCCGGGTACTTAAGTGCTGAACTCTTGAAGACTTTAACATTGACGTAGCAGTAATGTATACGAAGACCATCCAGCATGGAGGCTTCAGTCAAGTAGTTCACTTGTGCATCGTAGGTAGAGTCCGATCCATTGTCGAGAGTGAAATTTCGTGCTCTATCAAAAAGTAGTGCTCTGTGCACGTGTATTTTTCTTGCCGGTACTGAAATATAAACAACTATCACTTCATAGTATCGAAAAATGTACATCTATTTTGCGTGATGCAATAGTGCGTTTCTGCTTCAAGCGCATTAAGGTAAAATAACTGAATTATTTAATAGTATCTCTCAAAGTTGAAATAGAAAGAGAATCTGACGACATTTTGCTAGAAATAATATATAATGTCTATAAAACTGCTATGTTGGGTGAAACCTCAGATTTTGCGTTAAATGATTACGAAGGGGTGCGCAAAATTTTAAGGAATGATATCGGTTTTGTACGTATCTTCACATTATTTATTTGATTATAATGATATACATAGAAATCTCGGTCAAATCCAAGTAATATCACCTCATCAAAATGAGAACCAGGAAACCATGACAACACCAATGAGTGTGATACATACTACTGTGTTGTATGTTTGACCGTCAGTAGTCGTCATTTATCAAAGAAATCATGATATGCAATACTGAATCAACTGCGATGTAAACATCAAAGGCTTAGAAAGTATGATGCTTATCGTATAGTTAATTAGTACGTCTTCCATGAAAATAACGTTGCTTGTAAAACTCGAGATATAGGCTGTTGTTGTTCATGACGAAAAAACGATCGACGTGGTCATTGAATTTCTTGTTATTTATAATAGTACATCCTCGAAATATACTAACGTGAAATTGAAATATTTGATAAGGTTGTGTAACCATTCCTTATGATCTCATTAATAAATTCAACTTCATATGAGGCACAGTAAACAAGTGGTAAGACGCCGGGCTCGTGAACCAATTGTTTACCGTGCGAGTCACGTCACGTTGTATCTTTGAACAAGATACTTTTCTCCGCTTGCTCCAGTCTACTCAGCTGAAAAATATTACTTGACTAGGCAGTGATAGAATTGTTGATTGCTAGATGTGAGTGCACAGAACCGGCTCTATGCTCCCCATGGAGTTGACAAAGATATTGGCTGGTTGCAAAGGCCCAATAACCACCTTTGAGACAATCTACGACCTAGGTTTTGATTAAGCGGTATATAAGAACATCGCATTATTAATTATTATTATTTATGAAAACAAAAATAAGTTGGACTGAATGGGTAAATAATTCGTTCCCATAGAAATGCATAAAGTTTGAAAAATATAGCTTGCCAACTCGTAAGAAAACCATATAAATAATAGTCAACCAGCTGCTCAATCAGTCTCACAAGTTCGAAATCAATATGTTTTTATTTGGAGTTTGTTTTTATCACGAAATATGACTTTTGTTTTTTTTTTGCAAACTTCAATTATTACTTTTATATGATTGACACAGTTATCAAGAGGGGAATCAGTTGTGCCAGGTGTTGTATAAAACAATCTGATTTCCCATTTGGTTTGTGTTTACAAATTTGGATGTTTACATGTGGTTGTTAGAGTCAAAGCTTTATCGTGGTTTATTTCAAGGATAATATTTCAAAGCCAATTTTTTTTTCTTCATTTACCTATCTATATAACGTCTCATTGGCTTTTGAAAACAATATGAACATTTATGAAAAGTTAGATAAATATGTTACAAAGTTACAAAGTTTGTAGTATTTATCAAAGAGGTGTGATTGATAACAAGATGCCTTTTGTAACACAGACCGTTTTCTTTATTGCACATTTAATTATGCAAAGTTACTTACGTCAAATTTCAGAATAAACAGTAAGTTGAGTTGAAGATGTGAACCATAGGAAAACAGTTTCCATTGATTTAAATAGGGATACATAGATTAATAGAATAAAAACATGAGATTTCCTTATTTCAGTAAAAACATATGAACATTTAACTTTAAATATTTTGCATGAATGTCTCACCTTGTTGACCGATGACAAAATGTTGTGATACAAGTGCAACCAATAGCAAATAGCGAACGATCACGAAACAGCAAGTCATTGTTCTGTAATAGATGCAAAATCAATTTATGATCTATTTATTATTCTAGAATGTGTTATAAGACTGTGATATACATGTAGATGTAAAAGAAAAATACAAACCTTTTGCGTGTATCCTTCGACACAATCTTATGAAGTCTATTTGGTGTCCTCTGAGAGTGTGAATATAATGCAGATTTCCGAGCAGTATCTATGAACACTTCAAGATAAAGTTCGACCTAAGATAAGGCCGAACATCTCGGTCAAGTTATTGTCATTCATCATTTTGGAGCTGAACAATCGACCATTTCAGTTTGTTTTCTTATAATGTGATATCTTTTAATCAGGTTTGCTCAAAGAACTGATAATATCTTAAAATTTGTTGCAAATAATGCTACTGCTTTGTTGAAGATATGATTTATGTTATCATAGATAAGTGCATTGGTGTAAATATATGAATCGTCATGAGAGAAAACAACTATCGTTTCTAAAATAGCATTAAAGTCTCATTAACTTTATGGCCGATAACAAAATGATACAAACTTAATTAATATTCATATGCATATTTATATACTCTTTTTATAGAGTTGATAATTTTCGTCTGCAATGATAAAAAGGAAATGAATTTACAAGGTAATTATGGTAAACAATATATTTTTGTTCTGTTTCTATTAATCGCTGGGACATTTCCGATGATTTATGATATTACCACTACACTTAAGCTGCGTGAATACATCTGAATAAGTGATTTCTCCCTATTTTGGTATCGTAGAACAACAAAATGATGTCTATGTAAACAGTTAAAGGTAGACCAATTATAGTAATTAATTATTAATCATCAACGTTTTTACCTGTATCTTTACATTGTTGCTGTGTTAAACTGGTTTTGCATCACCTTTATTTATATATTTTGGCACAGTTGGTGAACTCGCTTGGCTGATTGTTCGTTGAAATCGTCTAACTAAACAGCATGTAACAACAAAATTAAATGATAACAAAATACACCAATACTTTAAGTATTAAAGTTTTATTAATTACAAATTGCAAAATCATATTACATTTGCAATAGACACTAGGCAATTCAACAACAAAACATATCATCATTTTTATAATATTAAGTACCAGTACATGCTTACAAAGACAAAAAAAGAAGTAAATATTGCACTATTATATATCACATTGACAAAAACAGAAAATGAAATATAGCAGCATAAAATATGTAGAAAAAAATAATATAGCACTTATACAAGCAGAATTGCAAAGTGGTCTCCAAGAAACCTTATGTTTGAAGTTGTAATAATACATCGATTAGAGTTGAATATGTTATTAAAATAATATTGATATCATTTTATATTCATTGTATCATCAGCACCAGCTTTAAATTGATATAAACTACGTTAATATCAAAGGAAACACAGGTAAATCAAGGAAATACAAATTAACCACTTTTACGACGTGTTAAAATACCACCAGTAATTGAAGGGCTATATGAAGATACTGCTTTTTAGTGAATATTACCTGTAGGCGCTCATCATTTAGGTCACATATATGGTATGAACCTTCTTATTTCAATACCATATGTTTAACATATTACAATTCAATATGCTTACAGTAAAATTGAAAATGAAATAAATACATAAAAGTCTACATACTGCGAAAGAACATAATTATAAGCTTGTTTCTCAAGAGTGGGCGAACGGACCTTGTACATGGTATGACCTTTTTACAAATATAGTTGTTTTATCTCTTGCGTGATTGTTTGCACTGGGCATTTACTCTTATCTTAGAACATGTCGGCTCCATATGTTCAAACAGCAATTGTTCACGTCTATAGATATGCTTTTTTTATTGTTCCATGACACAATTTTGTAATTTCATTCTTTGGATACATATAAACTTGATAAAAATATTGACATTAATATAAGTACAATTCTAATTTGGGTCACAGGAGATACTAATAAAACAAAACCAACTAACATCATCATTACATACACTAAATACTACATATTCTGTAATGCAAAGAAAAGAAATCTCTTAATAATAGGATTGAAAGAATACCTAACTCAAACATTTACACACGAAATTACCTTGTCACAAAAAATATGCAAATCCAAAAATTCAACAAAACTTGGAATGAATGGAAAAACCTATTTACCTAGTAAAAACCTAGTCGAAAAAAATATTTGAAAATCATAGCCAAGTGATGAACTTCAAATAGTTGGTCACCCATATACCCTTATGAATTACAATAATTAAATATTGTTGTCTTTTTTATATGTATTTGTAGCCTTTTATACACATTAATATATACAATGTACATATAGATGATTAAGTGTTAACTTGCTAATATACATGTGTTTTATACACCCAAAAAAGGCATAATGGACTCTGTTGAGATGTATTTGTTGTGTATAGTACAGGTCCATATGTATATGTGAATATATGTATAGTATACATGTGTATGTGTAGCAGTGTACAAACGTGTGCATATCCGCATAAAATACAAACAAGTTTATACAAAGTAAAACGATTTTTATTGTTTTCTTCTGTTTATATGTCAAATTGTAAACTTGTACAAGTATAACATATGACAATACCAAATTGTGTACTGTTTTCTTATATATTATCAAATCCTTACCTATTAATCTCAATAAAATAAATCCCCTTTAAAGATTAAAAAATACCCGTGTGCTTCTTGTTATCTGTGTCGCCTGAATGACACGTATAGGTAACAACCTATCCCATTTGCACGTGCAAATACCACCAATAGCGACACCTATTGGCGTATATCATAACAAAGAGAAAATAAGTACACCCTAATTCCTACCGTCAACCGGTTGAAATGATATTATATTATTTTATACTGTATACCTATAATGTATTACAATGTCAAATTGTTTACTGTATAACTATAACATATATATCACAAAGCCAAATTGTGTACTGTTCAAGTATCATGTATCACAATTCAAAATAGCATACTGTATAAGTATAACATCTCACAATTCAAAATTGTATAATGTATAACTATAACATATCACCAGGCAAAATTGTTTACTGTATACGTATAACATTTCACAATGCCAAATAATATACTGTACAAGTATAACATCTCACAAAATTATGTACTGTATAAGAATAATGTATCTCATTGTCAAATTGTATAGTGCATTCCTTTAATGACTAATGTGCGTACATCATACGAGCGTATCTGCGTGTGTGTGTATGTGCGTGCATATGCACATGTGTGTGTATAGATGTGCGTACATATGTACGTGCGTGCATGTGGAATTGTGTATGTGCGTATGTATGTAAACTTTGTATGTGTGTGGGTGTATGTATGTATGTATGCATGCATTTATGTATGTATGTATGTATGTTATGTATGTATGTTATATATTATGTTAAGTATGAATGCATGCATGTTTGTGTGTTGGTGTTTATGTTCACATGTAACTGTTTTACTATGTATTACGATAAAATATATATGTTTTTTGTCTATGAATAAAACAAAAACAAAACAAAAAATTGTATATACGCAATGACAGGACGTTGGATAACATAAATGTTGGATAAGATAAGTTTTATGCAAAATTTTCTACATGGGTTATTTGATACCGTGCCTTCTGTCCATGACATCATCACCGTATTAAGTAATGATATTTCGATTTGAAGTTTCTTGGTTATACTTTGAAACTTACAAAATGTTCAAATAAATATCAGTTTTATAAATTCATTTCGTTTCAGACTATAAGTGTTTATGATATAAATTTATATTATGCTCATAATCATATTTTTGGAGAGGGATCATGGATACCTTTCTAAAGTCATTTTAATGACTACAGGGAATGTGTTTGCTCTTTAATTTTTATGAGATGGATTAATTTGACGCCGACTTCTAACTGTATTGAAAAAAAATCATTTTCTTCTCATTGTAACACAGCGGGCATGAAAATATTTCGCATCCGTCATGACAGTATGGTAAATATACCGCAGCGATAACGCACAAGATCAAAAGGTCGTAATGAGCGAGCGGGCGGACAACGGACAGTCGGACGGATTTGTAGCTAATGTGTTGTGTTCTCTGGTCAAGTTTTTGAATTATTTATGTTATTGTATTTTTTAGCTTTTGAAATTTCCATTGTTTCCTTTTGTATTTTATTTATCAACTTTATTTATATTGTATTATTGCGTTGTCGCATATTAAATGTAACTGTGATATACTTCGTCTCTGTAATGTTTGCTTAAGCATAGAACACTCTTTATTGCTAGTCAGATAAGGTATTGATCCCAAACACTTGAATTAAAAAATACCATAAATCATTAACGTGATGTTTATAGCAACCACTCAAGACGTTTCCTTTTCATTTAAGTCCACAAATGCACTATACATGCATACCGGATTGTATGCACATGTTATCGGTGTAGCTCTTTTTCCAAGATGTCACATACAGCATTTATATGCCTTGTTTCTGCCTTGATTCTTGCTGGTGTTTGTATCAGGTAATTTTGAAAGAATGATAGTATATATTTGTGACACAGTTATACTTGCAATTGCAACTTTTGTTGATATGTTTTTTACAATAATGTGTATTGTATTTCAGATTATCGTCAGCAACCAAGCCAACACATCGGATTCGACGTCAAACATCGTATGTAGATATGTTTAACGATTCGTGTTTTTACATTATGAGTACATATTTGATATTTCTTGTCGAATATTTGTTTCAGTGATAATTCAGACCGTCACAATAAAATATTGAAAACTATTTATTCTATAAAAGTGATATATTTCACTGAGTGACAAATATCAAAATGATAGTGAAAATATCGTTTTCATCTGTTTTCACCAATCGAAACACTGATAACAAATCACCAGGAAAACTCACTTATCCTGATGATGAAAAATCTGCCCAGAATAATCACCTGTTACCAACATGGGGGACCATAATCTGGGGGAAAGACAACGTTTAATTCCATACTCAATTTTTATTTTCATACAAACCAACACACTATGCAGGTCAGTTGTTTTTGATCGGGGGGAAAGTCAAATGAGTCATCTCTGACAGTGACAATGGCGCTTCCAATTATAAACCACTCATAGTATTCTGAGTTGATATGACGGGACATTTATCAAATAATTGAATTTTGATAGTAATTTCCATAGTCTTTGATGAAAATGCGAACTTAAGTACCTACTATTTTAACATAAGTAATTATAGGAATTTAATAATGAGTTTTTATAAAATACCAAAATATTGACACATATTTTGCTGCGTATGATTGTTTATTGTCAGTTTCATGTGTCGCTACACGTTCCAGGGTAGGTTTTTGCTGGTAAAAAGTGTAGTACTCGTGAAAGATACCAATATGTCAGCAAAACTCGTAAAATACATTTCATTATCACAAAAGGACTAATTTATATTCTCTGAAACTGAATTCGAAGCTTATTAAAACTTAAAAAAAAAAAAATCAATGGTGACATTTAAAAACATTATGTTGAAATAGGATATGCATTTATTTAATCAAACTATTAATCTGTTTCAACTGTTATAACACTCTTAATGGTGTTTGGACAGGATATATTCCAATTATGAAGAAAATATGTACAACCATAAGCCTTGACATTCAAATTATCTAATAAAATATGTTTTGCCTGTTTTGATTAAGGCTTTGGTGGAGAACTTCATCTTCTAGTTCTTCAGGATATCAAGGTAAATACTTTCAGTGTATTCCAAAAAACGTTAACGATGACTTCCATCCAAAGAGAAGATTGAACGTTTAGAAATTCTCATTTAGCACTTTGGTCGCAGATAACACAAGTTGATATACTTCAAACATTCAAACATTGTGTATGAAGATTTAACAAAGATTTTAATTTATCAATGGATTTAGAAAAGAAAATTGTCTTTAACTTCCAGTCGACCGAAGTATACACTTAAGCATGAACACAATATGTTTGCAGCTACACTTCTTTTTGAATTTGTATTTTTTATATTTCTGTCTTGCTTGATGGGCGGATTGCCGCTTTTTCTTTTGCCTGCACTGTCGCTTATATATCTCTGCTTACCTATTTATATAAGCGATACATATCCAATGAAAATATGTTTGTTTGAATCAAGTGTCTGAATTAGCCGTACCGTCCTTACTATGTATGATACCTATATATATATTTGTGTCTTTGTGTGCGTGCAGGTTATTTACATGTAGTTCCCAAAGAATTTCAAAGACAATTATCTCCTTTATTCTTATTACGGAAACACGTTTACCTGTCAAATGAATTATAAGAACATAATTTTTTTTCACGTTACTAAGGCGTCATAATAAAATCACCTGTTGGAAATCTTGTTCTCTATAATTTTATGGATTTTTTTTTATCTATTAAACAGATTTTAGTGAATGCAATTAACTATTATTATATATTTACTGGTGAAATGTCAGGAATTAATAATTAAAAAATATGAATATTATATCTAATATGTGAAGATATGGCTTTGAATATTGTCAATGCAGAACGGTAGTTTCTGTAAAGATTTTTTTTATTAAAAGTCAGATGATTCGACGGCAGAATAATTGGTTGTATAGATAAACCTTTGAAACAAATGTACGGTATGAATATAACTACAAAATTGATATAGTTTTTGTTGGGAAATCTTACCAGTTGATAGCAGCAAACGGCAGAATTGCAGTAAGTTACTGTTCATTAAATAGGAAAAGCACATGACCTTCTTCTTGAATCTGGACACTTATTACTGATATCGGTGTGCCTGTAACAAGGAAACTACCTTGCGTTGAAGTACCGTTGAAGTTATGGCAGCATTTCCACAATAGCACACTTCTCAAAAATCGCAGAACCAATGTCAGCCACTGTTGACAAAACCATCATTTGGAAATGTGTAAAAGAAAGTGTAATAGAATGTTTAATAGAACGTGTTAAATTGATGACTTAAACACCCCGGAAACTAAGTGCGAGATACAAAAGCGGCAACTTTGAATATCTGTTTAAAAGATTTTACCTTTAGATCAAGTACTATCAGAGCTGAATTAACGGTTATTGCATTTTTACCTATTACATGTAGTCACCAATTTTGTCGCTGAAAGGGGTCATATTTCCAATCAAAACAAATAGGCTGGAGACAAGGATATTGGTCCCACTAGGTCGCTGACTCTTCAGAGTCCTTGTGGGGGAACCCAGGAGGGTTAAATATTGCTTTTTTAAAAACAAATACAGATATACTTTTGTATGAAGATATGTAAAGGGTTAATTATTAAACCTTTTTCTAGACGTTATGATAAATGCGGGAGTAGGGCCTTTGAAGTTGGCAAACGGGACCTGTTCTATATGTATGGAAATAACACAACTTTCATTTAGCAGGGGTAAGATAATTTAACACATGCAACATCGGTTGTATTGTAAGAACCGGAGAAAATCATTTTATTTTAAAGTTCTCGATTTAATTTAACCGAGTTACCGAAATTATCAGACGACCTTCATTATACATTTCAAATACTTCTCTTATATTTTTCTGAAATTTGCCAGTCTATTTTTTTATATATATATATGGATGTATCAGGGCTCATACTCAATATTTTGTTTGAATTTGCTCACTTGTTACCCAAATGCGGCCTTACCTAACGTCGATGGTTGCATATCGTATTGTGACAAAAACAAAATAACTTAATGTAGAATAAACCCTTTGCAAGTCTTAGCAGTTAGAGACGTATTATGCTTATGGTCTTGATACGACGCACTGAAATAGGTCAAATTACCAAAGGGCAAATGCCATATTCCTGTTGGCCTCTGGTCTTTGGATCTATGATAGAATACAATTGGAGCTGTTTAATTCCGTCAGGCATTGTGATATATTTTATTAAACACCCAACATCTTGTGATTAATATGAGCAAGATCCGTAAATAAAACAATAAATGTGTCTGTTCTGCTGTCTATCACTGAAGTACTTATAGACGCTTACATATAATGTTTTGCAGTTTGTTATGATCAAACATATTTTTTTATCTAGATTTGTTAGTTTTCTATATCAATAAAATTATGTTGTATAATACACTAATAGAATAGCTATTTATAAAGAAAGAATGGTGTCTACAAAACAAGTTTTCCTTTTTGGAATTGTTTACATTTTGTCGAAATCATGCTGAAAGTAGCAGTCTGTATTAACTATCATAGCGAAGATTTCTTCTTTTTGAAAACTTCTAAATAATGTTATTATTTGCATATTTGACCGTAATTTTGATTTTTGACACTAAAAACCTATATGGTATTAATACTACATAAAAAGGCCGCTCACACCTAAATATGTGCGTCTCATCAGATGGTGTTTGACATTGGCTGTTTCCCCTAATAGAATTCTGTTAACTTTTTTCAGAAAATACCTGTATACAAAAATGCTACAATGGTGGGGTATGCTACAACATAAACAAATGTAGATGCACCTCACAATACAAGGGTACGACTTGTGAAGAACGTAAGTAATACAGTCATTAATTATGTTGGTATGATGAAATATTAGAGACATTATGAGACCTTTATATTTTTATTTATGTAAATGCAATTGTTATGTTCAAACGCATAATTTAATCTTTATTATAGTCTCATATCCCAACTTCAACAACAATTTGTTATTGGTTATAGTTAGGGATCTGCCACTACAAAATTAGAAAACATGATTTTCACAATTGCTGGCTGCTGCATTTGAATCATTTTTTTTTTCAGCTATTTGTAATGCAGCATGCAGTATACATGGCAACTGTATTCTTCCGAATGTATGCCAGTGTAGTACTGGATATGAAGGCAAACTTTGTGACTCAGGTTAATATACACATTTATACGTTTTTTAGAAAAGAAAGGATGTACAAAACCAAAGGTACTACAAGTGTATGAGAGAAATTTGGCCAACAATCAATTTATTATACTTTTTGTACCATCATTACTACTTTCGCTTCATGAATATCCAATAAATGTCAGAAGCCATATCATGTTTACCTTGATGGCCACAGTAATCGCTTTTGGGTGACACACATTTGTAATGAATTCGAAACTAAGCAGTGCTCTGGGTTTTTTAAATTCATAAATTAAAAGTTTTGAGATACCTTCCCCTCTGTTTCATCAGTAGTTTAGACCTACTTGGATTTCAATTATTTTCTGCCCCTAGCATCACCGATAAGACCTCAAAGGTGAAACAGCTGTATGACACAGTACAATTAATTCTGGGCATACTGTATCTGTTACTAAATCTCAAAGGCGCAATCACCTCTGAGTGTGTGTTACGTTCGTCTTTTTACCTAATCATTATGTTTTTCCAACTCATACCAAATTTGAAGATATTCTGATTTTCCACTATATATGTGATTGTTTATTGTATCTGAAGACGTCTCTGTTCATATTTCACTGGTCGGAGATAAAGAATTTCCTTAAAAAAGATATGCAGGATTTAAAGGACTCGTAAGGCTAAGTTATGAATTGTTGAATATATTGAAACGTTTAATGGGTATATTGTTAAGCAAGTAATGCTGCACCCGTTCTCAACGTACCATATAGTAACTGTTACATAGCAGAAATGGAGTTTACCCGTTGAAATATTGTATGATATTGTTGTGCCCAAAATGTGCAATACATACTATTTGTGAACTATTTGAAACTCAAAAACGCATATTAAGACGATGAATCGGATATTCCAAAAAATCTAAAAGAATCTTTCTATTTACATCCTAAAGCTATCTGTGTTCCTCAATGTCAAAATGGTGGCAACTGTTCAATGCCGGGGGAGTGTACATGTGACTATGAATATACTGGGGGATCATGCGAACAAGGTACTGTATAAAATAAATTACAAATTTTGTATTGTAAGCTGTTCGTTTACGCTTGCATATTTTAAAATAATATATTTTGAGGAGATAAATGGTGTATTTCTAACATTTTTAGCAATATATTGATTTTCCTGATACATTAATTGAATTTAAAGCATGTTGTATAAATTATAGTATTCTATTAAAAACATAACACATTTGTCGACATACAAGGTAAAAATCGGAACTATACGACAAAATACAAGATCACAGGAGATGCATACCAGAGAGAAAGAAAATTATATCGATTTATAGCTGTTTTTGTATGATGTATCTTCTTGTTGTTTTTTACTATCATTGGGATTGCATAAGAACTATTGTATATGTTGGAAAAGACTTTGAATCACAAACCATTTATCTTCAAAAACTGCTTCTACTTACAAGATTTTTTTGATTTTTTTTTAAATAATAGCTATTTGCAAGAATGAATGTTTGAATGGAGGAAAATGCACTTCACCAGATGTTTGTAAATGCACCAAGGGATATACAGGATTTGTTTGCGAGAGTGGTAAGTATATGAAGTATATTGGAATGTTTTGTTTGATGTCTCGCCATCGGATCAGAACGAGACCCTTTCTGTTGATATAAACGGTATGATTTTAAAGGGACTGTCAACACATTTTACATGGCATTATCTGGTGAATATTGAATAAATTATGAATATTTTTTATCCCTCTTCGTAAATATAAAGCTTAACCCAGGCATTAATGTATATAAGGGTACATTTCATTTACACTGTTACTATTAGGTTATGTTGCAAGTAAATATGTACGCGCAGTGTCTATTTAAGCAAGTAGTGTTGGAATCCAATTTATTTTTGCACTTTAGGAAGTCTCAAACAGTTTTTCCAAATGTAGAAGCATATATTGCAACTTGGGGCAGGGGTTCAATTTAAGTTTATTGTCTGTTAGGAAGGTGTTTTCGAAGAAACATCGAAATCTGCAGGGTCCCAATTTTAACTACTAACAACATTGCTAATTTGTAATTTACCGTGGTGTCTAATGTTTTGCTGGCTTAGGTTGTTTGTCATTGAAATTGCATACTGTATTTTGATAAAATGACGTTGTGTTTGTATGATTACAATTCAGCTATTTGTACGAAACCCTGTTTGAATGGAGGTTCTTGTATTGCACCGAACATATGTGCATGTGCTTCTGGGTACTTGGGAGCCTTCTGTGAACTCGGTAAGGTATTAATTACATATTCATGTGTCGTATATAATAAGGAAAAGCATTGTCTTTGAATAAAAAATATGTTATTGCAGTGTACTTTACACTATGTATACAAGTAACTAATAATATGATCGTTTTTTCATAAGGTGGGGACCCAGACTCTTTCCTGAGCCCTTCCTATCACTTCACCAATAAACAAACGGGTAACTTATTGTCATGGTATGAGGAGGAGCCACTCTCAATATTTGGCAAAAGTTGTCTTGTAAAGGTTGAAATTTTGGTAAGAGAATATAAAGACTTTGAAATATTTGAAAATATGAAAACAGCTTAATTAAATCAGAAGTAAATAATTCAGTTTGCGATTAAATTGTTGTTACCATCAATTACAAAATAGTTGCAATCATCTGTTACGTCAACAATTATTGACTGATACGTTTATCTCTCTCCTGCTTACTGACTAATGTAATACACACACATAAGTTATATAGAATACAAAACTAGCAATTATGGCTTTGTTTGACTAAATACTCTTTAAAAAAAACCAGAAAAATCATCTTAATACATTTGACATAGGAATATGATATTTAATCAGGAATTTTGTTTTTGAAATGTGATTATAGCAGGCTATGTTTAACATGTTTGATATTAATTCGATCTACATATTGCTTTTTAATTTTTAACCTGTGAACCGGTAACTTATAATATTAATAATATTAAACATCCTTTTTTTTCGATGTAGAATGCAGATGTAGAAACCTTACTGACAGCAACAAGCTACACATCAACTGGAGAACTCTTTGGAAATTATACGGTTGGTGGAGCCGATCATGGTCTGCGAAGTAGCGGAACTAATCGGGCTGCGTGTCTTGAGTTCCGGTGTCCATCAGACATTCGTGAGGATTCTGTTATTGTCAATGTCACCATAGCTACATCCCGGCAAAACTGCAATATTACGTAAGTGTGTCGCTTAAGATTCAGATCGAAAGATCGATATGTGAATTGCAATGGTATGAAAACCTAACAGCAATATGTTGTAATATTTATTATTCGTGTTGCTAATTTTTTGTTTTAAAGACTATTATTTCAGAAATTAGATATATTTGTCAGAAATTAGATACATTGATCAGACACAAAGTTATTATTTGAGAAACTTATTTTTCCCACTTTTGCGATGCCTTTGAATCAGTAGCGGTTTTCAATATTATGTTTAGTATTAGACCGTAACACATGCGTCATCCTTCAATAGTAACCTTATGGCCCCGTTTTTGTTTCAGCAAACTGTCACCTTTATTGAATGTCATGGCTGGATATGACAGTAACGAAAACCAAGAGGTGGCATTTCAGGTGCTACCACATAGAGATTATGGATCCATGTATGGTATATACATCACCTATGGACTTCGTCAAAGGATACAGTATATTGGCGAAAAGATGTGCCGAAGTGGTACAAACTACGGCGGAGATAACGTTGTGCCAAGTGACGGAACTGCTTTAATTTATACTTGCAATTAGATGAAAAAAGGGATTATCATTGCTTCCAACGTTTTTTATTAGACGTGGACTTCATCACATTTTGCATTTCTATTTGCATTAATCAAGATGTATATTTGCCAAGGCAATAAACAAAACATTAGTCTAGTAAGCAATTCTATAATTGTTGATAACAAATATGAATTTCAGATAACTGGAATATGGTTTACAATTTTGTTAATTTCTCATTTATATGCATGTAGAGATTCTCAGAAGTTTTTATTGAAGTTCCCGAAATCTCAAATCATAAAAAATGTTGTCAATGCTTCAAAACTAAACAAATATTTTTGTAATAAATAATTTCTCTAATACGTTGTTGTTTTATCTATATCACAAGCGGAGGCTAAGTCGGTAGGTAACCACCTTACTACTATTTTGACGTAATACGGAACAAAGTAATAACTTAACAAAAATATAGCAGAGACCGAAATGTTTTTGCTTTATTTGGATTCTAGATACAATTATTAAAAACAAAAAAACACTAAACCTTTTATAAAAGGATCTTCATCTTATCACTGTGTACTTTTTTGAGATAATATATTCCTATATAGCGATTTAATGTTTATGGTTATTTGCTCATATAAAATACAATTTATTTTCTTAGAGTGTTGTCTCCAAATTCTAGAAGTCTTTCAAATAAATGAGAGAAAAGTTTGCTCAATATTTAGGAGAAAGAATTTATTGTGTTCATTGTATACGATAAGAATTGTTTTCGAACAATTTTATATAGCCGTCATATTCAATGGTCCTGTAATTACTTTCATAGAATGAAAGTATAATTTCCTTTTGGCAATTTAATTTGGAAATACAGTAAAAAAAGTTAATTTGAAATTCCTTTCGGCGCATTTAAATGGCAAAATATAAACGACAAAAGAATACTGAAATTTGAACTTAATGCGTTCTGAAATGGTCAGCGTCTTCTGCTCCACCAACAAAAGTTTGATCTTCATATCACACAAAGATATAGAATACGGAAATAAAATATTTAAAACAAAAGATTGACTTGAAAATACTCTTGAGTATACCGTGTATTTATCGATATGAAGGAGATAGTAGCAAAATTAGAACCAGGAACGTATTTTACTTGCATTACTATTGATATCAACTGCAGCAATATTTGTTCAAACACTAATTTCCCTATTGTAAAAATAAGATACAAAAGATCATGTATAAACTATTATTTGAATCACATTATCTTTTCAAACAAAAAAGAAGCGTTTTCCCTGAAAAAACCACTCAAATTCAATTATCTTATAATATTAAGTTAAGAAACTATTCTCTTCCTTCCAATTATATTTAAATGTTGTTTTTTATGATGAACTTAGGCATCGTTTATAAACAAATCAACTTAATTAAAACTTATAAATTTCAAAAATTGATGTTTTCAACACTTTTAAATTTAACAAAAATGTCATATGCTGGTTCGTTGTTCTCCGAAATCGTATTTAATGCTATTTCAATAAGAGAAAAGTTTGTTGTGGGGTTGAAATAAAACTGTTAAATACTTACAATATATATATACAATTTTTACTTTGATAAATATTCTGCTTCATCTGACATCGTGCAACTCTTCTGGACCACGAATTATGAATGAAACCACAAAACAAAACATAATAATAAACTTTATTTATTGAGGATACAAAACCTGTTTAGCAAAGCCAATCTTCCACAGTGTCCTCTGTTAGTAAAACTGGTTAGTTAAAAGACAAAGTAGTATCACAGCAAATAAATGTACATAAAATAATTGTTGGTCTTACTAAAACAGCAATTCATATCACAGTTATTTCATAATTTAAACGGTCTTTCAATACAATTACAATAAAATTATCACAGAAGCAACGAAACGTATTCCGTGGTTAACCCATTATNTATTTTGTTTATTGAATCAAATATATCAATGCATTGTCAACACTTGACGGTACTCATAAAGCAGCATTTCATATATTTGCAAGACTTCGGTCCATTTCATCAAAGTGCGTGGTCATGAAACCATGTAAATATTTATAGAGGTAAGAGAATGTTATACGTCATTTCATTAAATCTTTTTTCTTATCAGTTATCTTTTGATATACAACTTTCATCGGTTATATAAAGGAGCTTAGCAGCACGAACAAACAAAACGAATAAACCGTTTATTACATATAAAATTGATTTTATTTTAAATGTGATAAAATGCCTAAAAACTTATTTTATAGGAGACACGTTATAATTATACTTATCATTTTAACAAAAAAGATATCTCATAGGAACCTTTATGTATATAGGAACCAGATTACCCAGAGAAACTAACATTGTCGGGCAGGTTTCAATATGCAAGAATCGATCCCCCTTATGAAAATATGATTTGTCTATTTTAAGGAAAACCTAGCCCACTTAGAATTTGGTAATGCCGGAGTTTCGCCTCATCTGATGTATTGTAATACAGTTTGATCAGTATGTCCTCACGCTGTAAAACACATTCTGCCTTATTGATTTTAGATGTATTATATATGTTGCTTTTCAATAAAAAAAAAAAATGAAATTGATGCCAATTCAAAAATATTTAAATCAGATATGATAAGCACGTTTACTTTTAAAAGTCTTTGTTTTGACTAGACATTTCCATAAACTTTCTACTTGGCACGTACTCAGTAAAACAATGTTTTGCATGTATTGCATAAAACCTTTTTAAACAGTTTCATATGCCTGTCTGTCGAGAATGGAACAAACTTCAAAATGAAAATTAAGAATGAAACATCTGTTTATGTTAAGAGGATAACACGTTGTCACTTGAACTATAAATTAAAATACCAGTATTTTTTACATTGCGCTGCACACATAGCATTGCCGATTTTAACACATTACTTTATTTTGACTAACTGTCTTTTAACGAATAACATATTTTTATAAACGTTTGTATTTCTATTTTATTACTAAAAAGAATATGTGATTAATGCATGGAATCTTAAAAATTCCTTTTTGTCAACAAGCAGTTGTTTGAAGACCTAACATATCACACAACAAAATATCTACTAAAAAAATAAAATAAGCTTAAGTGTCAAAAAGATATTGAAATCGGACTATACAATCGCAAATGAGGAAATTGAAAAACGACACGTCGCACCAATAACAGATATTACAGTTTCAATGTGTTTATATATGATAATTGATTAAAGTTTGATAACGATATCATATGTTTGATTTGATAAATGATTTAGTTCCCTCAGTAACGTGTGTTGTAAGTTTTAGGGTTAGATGATGAATAAGTAACCTTTATTAAAATTTTAATAATTTGTTTGAGGGTTGGTAGGAAAACTAAAAAAACTGTCAATCATGCGATGTCGCTGTCAAGATCCTGGTTGAGTTAAAGTATCCGGGTTGGGTTTCTCCTCCCATTAGGTTTTCAATATAAAGAGGATATTTAATGGTGTCTTCGGTAATAACAAATATATTTCACGAGTGTGGCTAATATATTGGTATTTTTTTTTACGAGTGCGCAGCGTGAAAGATATCAGTTTTGGTTTAAACTTTGTTTTATTCAAATTTTGTTTGACAATACATCGAAGTACATGTTTTATAAAACAGAAAAGGAAACAAAAACAAGTGTCGTGACACTTATGTAAATTTGTTACCTGCTTAGTAATCAACTTTTCAACACTAGCTACAAGAATGAAGTAATATGTACAAAAGAATAATTACGGGAATAGGGGAGGAGGTAATGGATTGGTATGCAGTGGAAACCAGGAATGAATAACATATCAATATACATATGATCATCAGATGGTAATATCATATTGCTCTATTGCAATGAGTATGTGGAACACGATTCTGTAAAATATAACTATGGAATAGTAGATGAAAATGTCAGCAGTCCTGTAAATGGACACTCGATAAAGGTTAAAATGTATATACAAGTTACATAGAATAAATCACCACTAAATCAACTATTGACAAAATTAGTATGTCACAAAGCACCGCCATGATTATTAAAAACGTTGCAGTTCACATACTAGCCATCACACTTATCAAATATAAGTCCATAAAACACTTTCCCGCCTCGTCCCTGGTACGTCCTGCTCTTTCAAGGTAACACATCACTTTTATCAAACAAACATAATCATGGCGAGTTAGTGACATAATATGGTATAAAGAAATGCAATGGCAAAATCACTGAATAAGCATATAAGTCCAAATACATTTTAAAACAGTAGTAAAACGAATGCAACACAACATACATATATATATATATATGTCAAAATAAAATTGTTAAGGACTATTCGTTTATTTGAAATCTTTTAGTTTTGAGTATATAATTTTGGACGGCTAGAAAAATCGTAGTGATCTTGATGGGTTAGAGAGACATCACCAAAGATTAAAGAATTAGTTGATAGTTGATAGGGCAAACTCAGAATATGAAGCTGTCTAAGTGCTGTATATTTATTACATTTTGGCAAATAATGTGTTGAGTTCTCAATGGCACCGCAGGAACAATTCGGGGATGGTATGATGTTTTTCGTAAACAAGTGTTCTTTTAGGGAGCTACATGACATACGCAGTCTTGCGTGGTAGATTTGACCCAGACGTGAACCCTGAAAGTAGTATGAAGGTGGACATGATTTACTATTAGATTTCAGAAAGGCTTTTAAATGGGAAATGGAAGGGTTATTTCTAATATGTAATGGAAGAGAATTCCAATTGTTTACAGCAGAAGGAAGAAATGCATTTAGATAAATATTTGTTTTACAAAGAATAGGTGACAGACATGATGGGTCAGAAAGTCTGGTATTATAACTATGAACATCACTAACTGAATTAGGTAAGAGATTATACAGATACTCTGGAGTATTTTGATAAAACATTTTATGGAATTGTAACAATTTATGATTAAGTCTACGGTCTATTAATTTATTCCATCCAACTTCTGTATATAGTTTGTCTAAGCTTACAAGTTTAGTAGCACCTGAAACAATCCTAGCAGCTTCCAAATTAACATTCTCTAGTTTAGAAATATATTCTTTGGGAATACTATCCCAGACAGTATCAGCATATTCTACAAGTGGTCTAATAAACGAAAAAAAATAGTTTGTAATGTTTGCCTGTCGAGTTTAAATTTTAGAGATCGCATAATATTTAATCTAGACGTTGCTTTCTGAATTATTTGTTTAACATGTTCAACCCAACTGCAATTATTCGAA